TAGGAGTTCTCTCTCTGTCTCTCAATTGTAGTTCTGCCATTCTCTCCTCATGTTTTAAACGTTCTCTTTCTACCTCAACCATTCTTTCTCTCTGCCTCTCTTCAGCTTGCATTCTTTCTCTTTCCATTTCAGCCTGAATCTTTTCCCTTTCCAATTCCATCATTCTTTCCTTCTCCCTTTCTTGAAACTCAAGTTCTTTCAACCTCATTTCTAGCCTGAGCTTCTCAATTGACAAAGAGGTAGCTATTTGTTCTTGTCTACCCTCTTGTATTTGGGTCTCAGTTTCCTCAACTACAGAAGCAGTTGTCTCCCCTTCTCTTTCTGGTTCTTCAGGAGTACCCTTTGTTTTAGGTGGTGCCATGGTGCCTAATGTGTGTTAAGATGGCGCTAGAGGTGTCCTGTCTCTGAGGTAATTCTTAAGTGTCACGTTTTGACAAAAATTTACCTCAGGATTCTCACAAAAATGCTCTGGATTGAGATGTTACACGATCCACACCGCTGAAAAACCAAATTATAAAGGCACGTCATGTGGCCAAACAATATCTGGACAGGGGGTAAAGCAGGCCCCACCAACTGTCCCTCCAATATAAAGAATTCACACCACTTTGGCACCAATATAACGTTTGAGGGGATGTTTTCGCTGCCACCATAAACTGAAGAAATCACGAACCCTCTAGCTATTTAAAATGATAAAATGCTGTTTAAATTAATAAAAGGCTTTTTACTCCACCAAATGCTGTGTATTATCAAGGGCTTTCTTTGAGGGGAAAACAGGAGAGGTTGATTCAACAAGGAAAATGACTCCAACCAAAAAATGGCACTTGACTCAGGCTTCAATTTTAAAAATAACAAGAAAGAGTTTATTGATTACAAATTACAGAATTAAAAGTGAATGCAGGTTCAGAGGCTTGGCGGTTACAATAAAAGTGTTCTTGGTTCTTAGAAGCGTAATGGTTACTTGAGAGAATGGTTCTTTCCTTTGTTACAATTTCTTAAACACAAAAACCAGCTATTTTCTTTTCTAAAAAATAGCTGTAACTCAGTCTGCCACAGCCTACTTTGCTGTGCAAACTACAGGCAAGCTGCCTATTCTTAACAGAGACTCCTACAAATCCAAATCCCACTCTAACCGCACTCAGAACTAAACTCTACTCTACTCAGAACTGAACTGTCCAAATTATCTGTTCTCTTTCCCTCCAACTGACTAACTCCGCCCCTCTTTTCCAAACCAATCCTGGCTGTTGCTGGGCTGGCTCAGGCCTCGGCCACTCCCCCTCTCTGAACTGGAGCTTTTCCCTAAACTAAGATGGCTCCAGCAGCTCTCTGCCAGGCCTTCTAAGCTGAAACTACCTAGCCTGACTCTTCCTGGGCCCTGCCACCCTGGCTGGCAAGGTAAGGGATCTTCACACAGTCCTCTATTGTTGATAATGTTGGGTTCTTTGTCTATAGAACAAATCTGCTCCTTTAGCCAGATAGTGTAGTAGTCTTCTGTCCTTTCCTGATGTTCTTCCATAAATCTCACAAAATGATAATTATTAAGATCTACATTTACGTTTACCATAAATATCCATGCCATCTTTAGCTCAAGTTGTGCTCTTTTAATCTGGTAAAACCAACCCTCCATTTTGTAAGACTTTATATTTTGGGGCCCATCTACACAGACACCTTCATTGCTTATCTTGACATAATTACACTGGCTAACACATATTTTGGTGCCTCAGATGTTAGCACTGTTTCTGGATATATTTGACCTGTTGATTTCAAAAATGGCACCAGGTTTCTTCTATCAGCTGTGGTTTTTTTTTTCCTTATATGAACATATGCCATATATCTGCTCACCTGTAGAAATCATTATAACCTTAGCTGATGTAGTCTATTTAATTCAATTTTCTGAATCGGCACCCCAGACAATCCCAGAACAAGCCTAAAAGCCAAGACACCAAGACATTGTTGTTGTTGTTGTGCTATATCATACATCTTTCACTTTTTACTAAACACTAAATATTTTAAATCTGATTTTTCTTATATTTGTCTTCTCTTTTCTTGTCTATGAACATTTTTCTGTGCAGGCATAGATCCTGAGCTGTATCTTTCTGTGCTGTGTCAAATTTAGCCTGCACAGCTTGAATTCTAGGCTTATTTATTTATTTACCATATTTATATCCCACCCTTCTCACCCCAAAGGGGACTCAGAGCAGCCTTACAGATAGGCAACAATTCAATGCTATATAAAACAAAAAAATCAATTAAAATAAGCAGTTACATTAAAATCATAGAATTAAAACTTCTTAACAAGAATATTTAAAATACCACATAGTCCGAAATCGTAATCCAGAGCCATTCCAGTTGTAAATTGCACATATTCCATATCCATTTTAAGCACTGCATTACTTTACTGACCAAAGGCTTGGTCTCAAAGCCATGTCTTCACTTTCTTTCTGAAAGCCAAGGAGGAGGGTGCTGATCTGATTTCACTGGAGAGGGAGTTCCATAGCCGAGGGACCATCCCAGAGAAGGCCCTGTCTCATGCCCACCAACTGCACTTGTGAAGGAGGCGGGACAGAGAGCAGGGCCTTTCCGAGATGGTTCATAGGGGAAGAACCATTTGGACAGGTAAGCTGGGCCGGTAATACTGTACGTCCTATCTTCTGGAGAGGCTCTTTTCAGGCTCATTTTTTAAGGCACATTTGCTGGGACAAGGGAAAAGGCCTCCTCAATGGCTGCTCCAAGACTTTGAAAGAAGGGAAATTAAAACATTTCTTTTACCATCATTCTTTTAGAAACTAACTGAGATAGGCTTTTAATGTGGTGTGTTACTGGTTTTTATGGTTTGTATAGTGTTTTAATGAATTTTATTATTATTCGTTTTTTAAAATAACTTTTATATTCATCCTTTTATTGAAATATTTATCATTTTTTCATTTGTGTCATTTTAAAATATGTTGCCAAAAGTCATGAGTCTTGTTATCAAGGAGAAGATATCAAGGGGAAAAAAATAATAGATAGATAGATATTAAGCACCTCTCTACATAAAATTAAGCTATGGGTACTTAATTACAAGACTCAATTTTGTTTCATTCTTCCTGCTGAAAAATTGCCTTAGTGAATTAATTTGCTGCTGTCACAAAATATTTAGTTGCCCTGTGGCCAGAAATACTAGTTCCGAGTGATACGAGGGTGGGAATCGGCTCAACAGTTCAGCTATCACATGATTTTATTTTATTTTTTGCCATTCTTTAATGAGCAACACTGTCGTGTTTATCTTGAGAGTAGTGAAAATCTTCAGAGATTGGCAGACAAACTGTATGCTGGATTATCTGTGCTGTGAAAACAATTACTGTTACATTTTGCTAGAGCAAAATCTTGAGTTGAGAAATGGTTTAAATGCTGTCCAATCATGATCACTTTAATACTTTTTTTCATCCTTTCCAGACCCTAATGAAATCTAGTTTATAGTTTAATTGCAAGAAAAAAATGGAATTCCTGATGTACTTGCTGCATAGCACATATACTTGCTAAAATTGAGTCCATTCCATGCCATAGAAGTGAATGAGTCCTTTGAGCTCTGTTATCTCTTTAATCATTACTTATAAAAACCAGCCTTATCTGTAATAGCTTTTCTATCTAGTGTAATTAGTAGCAGCATTTCCAGATTGTATGAAGGGTAGGTTCGCCTCAGTGGGGATAAGGTTGGGAATGTATATTTCACTTTCAGGAGGTTGCACTCAAAGATAGAGACTGGGGGATAAAGTGCACAACGGATAGCAAACTTTTGTTTCATTTTTAATAAAATCCCAGAGGGATTTGTAAAATGTGAAGGCATTGTTGCTTGGAAAATGTAGATAGGAATGCAAGATGCCACGAACAGAAGTATGAGCCTGAGGAAAAATGCTGGAAGGAAGGTGGGTGTCCTTACCTATGGCCGTACTTCTCTTCTGGGAATATTTCATTCTTTTGAGTGAGCCAATTGCTTGGTTACATGTGTGCATTTCTTGCAGGGCAGAGGTTTAGCTTTGCATTATAGTAGTAGATCAAGTAGTTTAAAACATACATACATCTGTGATGCCTACATGTTTCACACTTACATTTTAAATGTTTATATCTGACTCCTGTCAGCTCAGAACAGTCTTGCATCCAGTTCCCTGGTATCCCAACATCAAGGTGGCACATATTTGTATATTTTTGGATCTGATTTCTGTCACTCAAGTAGAAACTATCTGCTGAATGTGTACTGATGTTGCAGAACTTCTCAGAAAACAAGAAAAAAAGAAAGGAAGTATTATCACTATGCTGGCCATACTACTTGAACTGAAGATGAACTGTGGGTTGTTGTAGGTTTTTCCGGGCTATATGGCCATGTTCTGGAGGCATTTTTTCTCCTGACGTTTCGCCTGCATCTATGGCAAGCATTCTCAGAGGTAATGAGGTCTGTTGGAACTAGGAAAACAGACCTCATTACCTCTGAGGATGCTTGCCATAGATGCAGGCGAAACGTCAGGAGAAAAATTGCCTCCAGAACATGGCCATATAGCCCGGAAAAACCTACAACAACCCATGGATTCCAGCCATGAAAGCCTTCGACAATACATTGAAGATGAACTGTTTGTTTTAGGCATTGAGTGGACACTTAGCCAGTCTTCAGAACACAATATATACTCAGGCTCGTTGCCACAGGTGGTTTCTTGAATTGCTTGCCCTTTAAAGTTTGTCCTGAACCCAGATGTCATGCAGGGCCCTATTTAATGACGTGACTTTTCTTGATAGTTTTGTCTGAGGCAGAGAAATAGGCATAGCCTCCAGGCAGGATGTATGTGGAATAGGCTGAAAATATCACAATACCTACATTTTGGGTGTTTTAATCTCCTGGAGATTAAATATTTGATCAGGAAAATGATTTCCCAGTGTCAAATTTTTTATCTTCAGGTGATTCCTCTAACCCAGTGATATGTCCAGTTAAAATTAATTTTGCTCCTTTCCCCCCCCCCCCTCCATTTTTTCAGGGAGACCATCTGGGCACATCGTGTCTCATTTCTAGAAGAGAGAATTCTGAATGACTGGCCATGCTTCACCATTTGGAATGCGGGCAAACAAGGCCGGAAGCTCTTTCGAAGCTTATCTCCAGCTAATCAGAAAAAGGTGAGGAAAAATGCATACACAAATGCCACTTTGATCAATATCTTTCTTGCTACCATTAATGTTTATGTCTATTTTCTCCAATTTGTAAAATAACACTTTCAGTTTTATTATCTTTTTTAAAGAAAATGCAAGATCTTTTTTACAGTCTTGGTGTATAAATAAATGCTAAACAAGTTTAAAATTGAGCCAGGTAAAGATGCCCTAAATAAGGGGTGAAGGATGGTGATGGGGCATCAACCGTATTGTAGACAAGGCCTCCTCAATGGCTGCTCCAAGACTTTGAAACTCTCTCCACAGGCAGAAGGGAAATTAAAACATTTCTTTTACCATCATTCTTTTAGAAACCGACTGAGTTAGAGTTTTAATGTGGTGTGTTACTATTGTTGTTTTTTGTATAAAGGATTAAATAAGTATTTTGTCCATTCAAACACCTGAAGTAATTGCAGCAAAGATGTGATAATGAAGTGTAGATAAAGCAGTATTGGCTAGGTATATAAAAAACAGTAGGAATTATACTTCAAAAATAATCACCATTATATGTATTCATTTGAGCGAATAAAGCCTAATTAATTTGTATAAGTATACTAGCATATATACCTGATATTGCCCAAGTTTGCATTTTCTTTGTGGCTCCTCTCTTTTTGTCATCTACCCTATCCCTCTCTCTTTTTATCTTTTTTTTCCTTCCCTTTCCCCCATATACCTTCCTCTTTCTTTCTTTCTTTCTTTCTTTCTTTCTTTCTTTCTTTCTTTCTTTCTTTCTTTCCTCTTCCTGTCTTTTTCTTTTTTCATTCCTGTCTCCCTTTTTTCTCTTCTTTCCCTTTATTTCCCTCATACTTCCCCCTTACCTTTGCTTTCCCCCTTTCCTTTGTCTTCCTTCATCTAACCTTTTCTTGGAAGTCACAGTCTCTCAGCCTCAGAGCAATTGTAAGCACACACACACCCTTCCAAAATATAAACTTTCATTATATTAATGACATACTTCCTTATGGAATGGCCCTATGTGGCCTTCAGGACTGTGTTTTTGCCTCATATTAGGCTTCGTAGTGCCAACTGCCTTTTGTCTGGCAGTAGCTAAATCTTTCTATATATTGCCCTCTGCTGGTTGCATCTGAGCACTACAAACATATTTATTTTACTTGTGGGGACCCTCACCTCCAAATGGGGTGGATTTTGTTGTAGAAACCCAGCATTTTCAAGTTGGATAATGAAGGATTTGTGTGCTAGGTTTGGTCCAGATCAATCAAACCACATAGGAGCCTTTGCGGATCAAGCAAACACATGTACATGCATACTTACTTTGATAGATAGATGGTTCGATATGTATAGATAGATGGATGGATGGATGGAAGGATGGATGGATAGATAGATAGATAGATAGATAGATTCAGTTTGCTGCTAGAAAGCTCTTTTTCTGACAATCTGTTATAATACCATTTGTGTCATAATTAGTTAACCACTTTGCATTTTGAGTGAAGGACATTGAAGCCATGGTGAGAGGCAAGGTCCCGTTCCCCGTTTCCCCCCCCCCCCCATTTTTCCTCCATTCAGAAATAAAATGAAAAAAGCAATATTATCTCTCCTTTACAGAGTGAAAATCATTTTGTTACTTTAGGAGAAGAAATGGAAGGAGATGGGGAGAGCCACCTTTTGTCCATTCTCTCCTTCGTGTCTGCCTTGACACAAGCACACAGTCTTCATCCTGGCCCAACTACATGGTATATCTTTCCTTTCACTAGCTTGCCATGTATTTCCTTTTGGGAAAGAAGAGGTATCCATGACCACAACTGGCCCCACCATGCCATATCTACTGAAAAAAATCTCAAGCAATTGTCTTCTTTCTTCTCTTACTTCTCCTCAAGAGTAAGACATCGCCATTCTAGGCAGTGAAGGGGGGAAAGGGCTTTGAGACTGGCAATGGAGGCAACACAGTGTCTCACCAATCCATTTCTACCACAAGCCAAATTTTTCAAAATCCAATGATCACAGGGACAGAACGTGAAGTCAAAACTTCTGAACAGGGGCACAGACAGCAAAATAAACACCACGGTGCTGTTCACCCTTCCCTGTGCTATCTAAAATTAAAAGATGTGTATCTATTAGGCCTGGGTAACAACGCAAAAATTTGGTTTTGTAATCGTTTTGTAATTGGGGTGTTTTTTTGTTTCGTTATTTAAAATAATTACAAAATTTTCCCTAAAAAAGTTCGGTATTTACGAAATTTCGTTAATATTTACAAAACATTTTGTAAAGATGGCGCCCTTTTTTTTCCAATATTTTTTTAATTTAATTATTAATTTAGTAGAATAGGGAGGAGAAATTATTATTAAGGAGGGAAGGCAGGCACTCACTCTGGCGGACCCTCAAGCAACAACAATAGCAGAAACTTTTTTCGCCCGAAGCGCCAAACTTTTGCGGAAGTTAGTCACAGGCTCTTTAAAAAGGATTACAGTCGAAAGGAGGAGAAAAAAGAATGAGGGAAAGTTATGTGAAAGAAAGAAGCGCCCCAAATGCCAAGCCAAACAGCAAAGGCCGGGGTGAATGGATGGCTGGCTGGCTGCCCTTCAAAAGACACAAAGTCCTTCCCCGTTTGAAGGCGCTTCGGCCGAAAGGGGAACGGAGCGGTCCCTTTCTGGGTGTGTGTGTGTGTGTGTGGGCACAGAAAGGGTCCCAAATAGGGAGGGCGGGAGGAGAAGGAGCCTTCAAAGTGGACAATGAAGGGGGAGGGCTGGGTTGGAGCGGGCAATACCTGCGCCACCAGCGGCACCAGCGTCTGCTCCACCGAGCGCGAGTGGATCTGCAGCCCCGGCAACAGCGGCTCCCAGCCCAGCGCCGAGCCCGGAGGGGAGCGTGGCCACGGGCAAACCCCGCTCCCGAGGCTCCCTCCTCCGCCTCCTCCTCCTCCTGCGCCACCGAGGAACGCGGCCATTGCTCCGGAGCCGCACCGCTCGCTCCTTCTCCAGAAGAGGAATGAAGAGGCGGCGGCAGAGAAGCCGGGGCTCCCCCTCGAGGCTCCGCTCCTTTCTCCGCCCTCCCTCTCCCCCTCTTTTTCCCGCCTTCGGACGTCCCCCCCCTCCAGCCAATAGGGTGGCCTCAGAGGGTCGCGCGCGCTCGCTTTGCCCCTCAGGCGGGAAAATTGCCATGCCTTATTCCCCCCACCTTCTGGGTTAATAAACTCTCTCAGGGCCCTTCCACACAGCCCTATATCTCAGGATATCAAGGCAGAAAACCTCACCATATCTGCTGTGAGCTAAGTTGTCTGAGAGCACTTCCACACAGCCGGCGCCGAGAGAGGAGAGCTCCCAGCAAGCATCGGCAGGCGGCCATCTTACGTATTTCCGAAATGGACGGAAATACAAAATTTTTTGGCACCTGCCGTTTCGATATTTAAAAACACTTCCAGGTTAAAAAAAAAGTTTTGTAATCGTTTCGTAATTCAAAAAATAACGAATTTTTTAACGAATTACGAATTAACGAAACGAATTGACCAGCCCTAGTATCTATATATAATATACTGTATATACATATAATATTGATAATATTATAATATAACTAGCCGTCCCCTGCCACAGTTGCTGTGGCCCAGTCTGGTGATCTGGAAAATAAAGTAATGGTTTCTAATCTATGTAATTCCTTTATGCTTGTGGGTAAACAGTATTTATTGTTGTTTCTTTGTCAGTGTTGATGTGGAGAGTGTCTGGTTTGCCTACTCTGGAATATGCAACATATCATAGTCCTTCTTTAAGGGTCTCTTTCAAATCTATGATACTATATCTGTGTGTGAGAGAGAATCATATCTATCTATATTTATGACTGGATGGCTCTTTGTCAGGAGGGCTCTGATTACATTTTCTTGCCCTGGTGAAGAGAGTTGGACTGGATGGCCTTAAGTATTTCAGTTGGTCATGGGAGTTCTGTGTGGGAAATTTGCCACAATTCTATCGTTTGTGGTGTTCAGAATGCTCTTTGATTATAGCTGAACTAAAAATCCCAGTAACTACAACTCCCAAATGTCAAGGTCTATTTCCTCCAAACTCCATCTGTGATCATATTTGGGCATATGGAATATTTGTGCCAAGTTTGGTCCAGATCCATCATTGTTTGAGTCCACAGTGGTCTCTGGATGTAGGTGAACTACAACTCCCAAACTCAAGGTCAATGCCCACCAAACCTTTCTAGTCTTTTCTGTTGGTCATGGGAGTTCTGTGTGCCAAGTTTGGTTCAATTCCATCATTGGTGGAGTTCAGAATGCTCTTTGATTGTAGGTGAACTATAAATCCCAGTAACTACAACTCCCAAATGACAAAATCAATTTTTTTGAGTGAAGGACATACATTGGGTTGTTAGGTGTATGCTGTCCAAATTTGGTGTCAATTTGTCCACTGGTTTTTGAGTTCTGTTACATTTTTATTTATATAGATTTGGCTGGATTTTTACTTTTAAAATGTGCCTGTTCCAACTTACAAACAAATTCAACTTAGGAACAAACCTACAGAACCTATCTTGTTGATAACTTGGGAACTGCCTATACATTGAGGCACCTGCTCCTCCAGCACCTATGACTGTAATAGCGGTGATCCTACATTGGAGTTTTGTATGTGAGCTTCCAAGTACTGGACCAAGGTGAAACCATTTTGTATGCATCCAGACATTTTCTGTGTATCTTGTCCTTTTTTTTTTTTACTTTACCTGGATAGATAGATAAAGGAACTATGTGACCACAAAGTTAGCCTGAACTGGTTTCAGCTGGTACATGAAGCAATAAATCCAGGATGACTTCACTCAGTTCTGCAAGTTAAAGGGTAGACATGCACAGTAGAGTTTTAAGACATTTTCTCTTCTGTGTTTGCTAAGGGGCATATAAGGTCCATGTGCAGCCAATAAATCTGCCTCTTGCCAATAGTCTGAGTGAGGTCTGCTTATTTTGATCAAAAGTTCTGTGTCACATGTTTTTCTTTTCTGGGTAGATTCAGAGTTTGTTCTCAGTTCTTTAATCAGGA